TCCTGCTGGGATGAAGGAGTCTAAACCTGCACACTCCAGGTCCTGCTTCGGCTTCTAGCCAGCATGGATCCTAAGGAAACCTCTCTCCTCCTGACACACTGGTCCTGGTCCCTGTCTGAGGCTGGATGGAGCAGGGCCAAAGCTAGGAAGACACACTTGTCCTCTGGCTCAGCTCCAGTCAGCAGCCACTTGGTGTGGGGGAAGGACAACATAGGATGAGTATGAATCAGGATTGCCACTGGATAGGAGAGAGATGGGATTAAAAACAAACAGGAGGCTTTGGAAAAGCAGGAAAATGACTCCAGAGGCAGCAGAAGGTATGTTAGTATCCCTGCCAAGGCTTCCAAGAGGTCCTTCCCACCCCTCTCCCACCAGGCACTGTACGTACTGGTCTTCCAGGCATCCGGAGCCTGCAGGTCAGATGTCTTCACTGCCCAGGAGGCAAAGGCACAGAAGACAAGGCACATGTCTTTGTGGGTTGGTGCCCTCAGATCCTCTGATCCTGCCAGAAGAAGAGCACGAGGTTTGGGGTTTTATGCTACCTCCTCTGCCACAGCTCCAGTCCCTCTGGGACAGCAAGTTCCTTGTGCTCCCAGAGATCACACCTTTGTCACACATTTTTCCCTCCCAGAAGATGTTCTTGCATCATTGGTCAAGCCAAATGTGTCTATTTTGGACTAAGTTATGGTTCCTAAGGTGAGGGACACATTTCTCACCCTTCTGAGTTCTATACTTTGTTGAGACCCTGAGACAAATGTCTGTTAATGCCACCCCAGGACCTCTGACTGCCTCACACCTCCCTGTGCATCTTCCCAACACACTGTGGTGGTTAGAAGTGGATCTAGGGGGTAGATTTAGGAGAGAATTATTCCTGTATCTACAGGAAGGTCCCTCTGGGCAAGGACCTCCTCCTGCCAGACAGTGTCACACACAGCTCTAGGACAACAGGTATAACCTCAAGAAACACCAGTGCTCAGCATCTCTCCCTGCATCCCACCCCACTCCCACCTCCTGCTGCATCCAGGGATTAAGACATCCTTAGGTGCTCTGCATTTCCCTCCCTGCAGGAGTTGCAGCCTGGCACAACTCTCAGATCTGTTGTAAGAGGAGGTTCATTTTGCTCCTGTGTTTATTTGATCAGGGGGTTAATTAAAACTGGCTTCTTAATTAGCTACAGCATGGCAAAGGGGCTTTTTTTTTCCACACAAACAGACTGGGAGCTCTATTTTCAGGCAGCCTTTGGGATGACTCAGGCATTGTTTGGGTTTAATATTAACTATGGCTCTAAGCATCATATAAGCTTTAAGATAAATACACTGTCTGTCCTCCTGGGTCAAACTTCTCTCCCTTTATTCCTCTTTCTCTTAACTGCCTCCAGAAACAGCCAACATTCAGGTGACCTCTGAGGTCTCTGGAGGGTGTTTTTCATATCAGAGTGTTTGGAAGTCCCATATTCCCTGTCCATGCTCCAGTGCTGGGAGCCAGCCTGTGGGACCTGGCCAGCAGCACTCCCTTGGCACAGGGACAGCAGGAGCATCCCAAGAGAGAGCCAATGTGACACAGCATGGGACACATCCCTCCAGGGGAAAATATGCTTTACCTCTCAGTGCAAGGGCCATGTCTGCACCTTCTGGCCACCCTTGGCCTGTTCCCAGCGGAGCCAGAGGGATGAGGGCGAGTTCTTCTCCGGATCTTCTCGGCACCAGAGCCTGGGAGGAGGATGGGGCTTGGCCTCTGACCAGGTGTATCTGTCTTTGCAGAAGGGACTTCAGAGCCCTCACAGCTTTCTTCACCTCACAGGCTGGAGTGACTGAGAAAATCCCCCTCCAGCCCGTCCTGTTCCCAGGTGTTTCTGGGAAGACGTGTTCATACACCTCAGGGACTGAGATAATGACAGAGTCCTTGACTGGAGCTGAGCTGGGATCCTCATTCTGCAGCCCAGTGTGGTCCAAGCTGCTAAACTTCTTTCTTTTCCTGTCTTTCCCCTTGGTTTTTTTCCTTTTTCCTTCTGGTTCATTGAAAAAATACTCATACAGTTCAGGCAAGGACATATCCCTTTCCATGGGTGATTTCCTCCCCTCCATCATTCCCTCTTCTTCCTCTTGGGAATCACAGAAAAAGTAGTCATACATCTCAGGCCAAGTCACATCCAGGGTGTTTGGCCTTGCAGAAGCTCCATCTGAAAAGCATGGGGAGCTCTGTTCCCTTGGGATCTCAGCTGCAGGTTCCCAAGGGATCTCAGCTGCAGGTTCCCAAGGGATCTCAGCTGCAGGTTTCCTGGAGATCCCAGCTGCAGATTCCCAAGGGATCTCAACTGCAGGCTTCCTGGAGATCTCAAGTGCAGGTTCCCAAGGGATCTCAACTGCAGGAACCCTGGGGAACCCAGCTGCAGGAATGACAGAGGTCTCTGCAGGCTTCCTGGGGGCCTCAACTGCAGGAATTCCAGGGATTTCAACTGCAGGAACTCCAGGTATCTCAACTGCAGGGACTCTAGGGATCTCAGCTGCAGGTTTCCTGGGGATCTCAACTGCAGGAATTCCAGGGATTTCAACTGCAGGAACTCCAGGGATGTCAGCTGCAGACTTCCTGGGGATTTCAACTGCAGGAACTCCAGGGATCTCAGTTGCAGGCTTTCTGGGCATCTCAGCTGTGGCAACCCCAGGGATCTCAGTTGCAGGAACCCTAGGGATCTCAGTTGCAGGAACCTCAGGGATCTCAGCTGCAGGCTTCCTGGGAATCTCAACTGTAGGTTTTCTGGGCATCTCAGTTGCAAGAACCCCAGAGATCTCAGCTGCAGGGTCCACACAAGCTCCCCCAGCAGCATCTCCTCCAAAAGCCACCACACTCTTGGGATGGAGAGGTTTCTCCAGCCTCTCCTGGCATGTCTCTCCTGAAGGTGCTGTGGCTCCGTTGGCAGGGACCACTGGTACACTGTCACATACACCCAAGCCACCAGCCTGCCCTGGCTTTGAGTGCTTGGTGGCCTTTGTCTTCCCTGGGGACTGTGCTCCTGGTTCCTTCACCTTCTGCCTCGGGGGAGCACTCAGGGCTGGTTCACCCTCATCCACACCAGGGCTGGACACTGACCGCTTGCTCTCCCCTCCTTCCTCGCTCCCCAACCTCACCAGAGCTGCCTTGGCTGCTTTCTCCTTAACTTTGCACTTACGCGAGGACATTGGTGAGCTCAAAGGTGCCTTCAGGGGCGCTACAGCCCCCTGAGCTCCCCCAGGCTCCTTGTCCCCCTCGGCGGCGCTGGCTCCGCGCTGCTTTCGGCTCTTCTTCTGCTGTGCTGGCACCTTGGGCCTCACCACACTTGGGGATCCAGCTGGGGAGCTCAGCTCTGTGCCTGCTCTCTCCCCACTCACCTCCTCCTGTGCCAGGCAGCCAGGAGCTCTGGGTGCAGCCCCCAGGGCTGGGCTCGGAGGGTCCCGCAGGGGTCCCTGAACTTTGGGCTCAGCTTGGGAAGCACTGGGAGGACTTTTCTTGGCTGAGCCCTCTGGAGAGGCAGCTGGTGAACCCTGCAGTGGAGCTCCTGGCTGTGCCACATCACGAGGCTGTCCACCTCCTGCATCCCCTCCTTGCTCAGGGGCTGGA